TCTTGTCGCAGCGGCGTCGGTCTTATCGCAGCGGCGTCCGCAGATTAGGTCCCAAGACACGATAGTTCCACAATGGTGCCCGGTGATTGCTGGCCAGCCGCGGGAATATAACGTCACGCTACGTGACCTACACTTAACGTGGCCGTGATGGCCTCGTTAGGCCTTCAGGGACACCGGATTGGTGCCCCGCATTGGCTACTTGGTTGCGTAGTTTCTGTAGATTCTACTATGATGATATACTATACGTTGGGACTCCTTTTTAGGTGAGCGGCCATGTCTGTGGTGGAAGCAGACGGAGCAATAGGCCGGTTGGCTTTTTGGGGAAGGGAGGGCTTCGGGAGGGCTTCGGAAGGGCTCTGAAACTCGGGAATCCAACTGGGACTTGCCTGCATTGGAAGGTATCGGGCTCGACTCCCAGCTGAAACTTCAGCCGTTGTGTACTAATATGGACGCTGTTGTCGATGACGCTCCCTAAAAATCATGCGACGATGGGGGCCGAAATCCAGAGAAGATCTCGTCAAGAATGCTGTGTACTTCGAACAGACGGCGCGACGGCAGGACACACCTGTGCGGCTCGCGCCAGGCTGGTCTGTACTGTCTGAACTGGAGCACGGCCCACGCGCCGGGCCCGTCTTTAATGTCTGAACTGAAGTATGGCCCACGTGCCGGGCCGGTCTGTACTGTCTGAACTGAAGCATGGCCCACGCGCCAGGCCCGTCTATACTGTCTGAACTGAGGCATGGCCCACGCGCCGGGCCCGTCTTTAATGTGTGAACTGAAGCATGACCCACGCGCCGCACTGCCCTCCTTGGAAAAACGTCGTCCTCCACCCACTGAGAGCGGGAGGGAGGATGGGGTGGGGTGGGGGGGAGGGGGCCGGGTGGGGGGATTCCCCTGGGTGCTGCCCACCAGCCACGGATCGACCCGGCCCGAGCCGCCGGACCAACAGCGACACGGTCGATGAGCACACTGTGAAGCCCGTGTCGTCACCTAGCACCGACCTGAAGCCGACCTGAGTTGACCTGAGGTTGACCTGAGTCCGACGAGCGGCAGACTGGAAGCGAATCTGAGACCGCCCTGTGTCAAGCCCGAGGCCGACCTGAGTTAACCTGGGGTCGACCTGAAGCTGATGATAGGTGCACCTGAGACCGGCTATCAGTGGCTTCTGTTAGCAGGCCGAACGGGCCGCGTGCGTTCCAGGTTATACGCGGACACTTCGTCTGGCAACTCGTGGAAATGGTGCGTTATTAGATCCGGTGGCGGTATAATTTGCAGCACTCAACTCAAATTTTGACAGGTTATTGCCAGATTCCATCCCATATGACGGTGGGTTTCCAGTCAGTTGTGAAGTCGATCAGACGGGGTTTTTATGCCACGGCGTCTATTATCATGCACTATATCCCATAGGCCGCGTGGAATAGCCGGCGCTGCGTTCAGCACGCTTGAGCTAATGCAGAGCAGGGTTACGCCGCATTGATCTGGAGCGGCTCATCTGCCTTAATGAGGCGAAAACTGCCCGACTGTTAAGTAAACCCAACGGTCCACCAAAATAATAAGGTATCATCACGATAACATCCAGGACGTAGTGGGAGAAACACCCTGTGTGAGTGTCTGCATGTTCGTGATTCTGGCTGAGGCGTCGCGCACTGGAACCTGACAAACTAACCAATTGCCCACGCACGGTTAAATATAAGGTTCGAGCTCTCTATGAGAAAGGAAAGCCGTTACACGATCACCGAGAGCAAATGTGTGGCTCCGGCGTCCTGAGTGACTTGTTATCATGCCACCTACGACTCCTGACATGGGACATGGGACTCATAAACATGAGTTGCATATCATGACTATGACTATAAAGTCGTGTGCCATATAACACCCTTTGGAGCACATTACATACAAGCTGTGATGAGGGGCTGGTTTCCTGTACCATGTCACCCGCAGAATGTAGCATGTGGCCTCTCATATATAGCCTGGAGATGTAACACGACACCTGAGACCTAGGGGCACGCCACCCGAGGGGCAGTTGACCCGCAGTTCGGTTTGTGGCCTGTGAAACGTGGACTACATGACGTGACACATAGCTCGTGGCATTTAACATGTAACCATTAAAATGTGTCATGTGAGCTTCAACACATGTCATGTTGGCGTGTGTCATTTAGCCGCAAATTCTGCAAAGGTATCATCCCAGTCCTGTGAATCGACCCCATGTCTTGAGCGAGCCCACGCCATGTCAGGACATGCAGACCTTGTGTCAGGTCCCCATGTCCGAACGTGCCGACCCCACGTCAGGATGCCCGACACCTTGTCAGGACATACTGAACCCATGTCAGAATGTGCCGGCCCTGATGGGAATGTACCGGCCCGTACCTCAGAATTCCCGACTCGTGCCGAGCTTTGTGACCGCAAACTGTATTCCAGGAACATGTCCTAAACATGAGTGATGCGAGCCCAATCAGGTGCTGCATTGCAATGCAGCTTGCGAGACGTAGTCGACGGTACAGGCGCTTGTGTGGCAGCAAGCATGACGTGAGTGGCCACCTTGGCTGCGACCCAGCGGTGACCGATGGCCCACGTTGGCTGCGACCCAGCGGTGACCGATGACGTACGTTGGCTGCGACTCAGCGGTGACCGATGGCGTACGTTGGCTGTGACTCAGCGGTGACCGATGACTCACGTTGGTTGCGATCCAGCGGTGACCGATGGCCCACGTGGGCTGCGGCTCAGCAGTGACCGATGACCCACGTTGGTTGCGATCCAGCGGTGACCGATGACCCACGTTGGCTACGACTCAGCGGTGACCGATGACCTGTGTCGCCGACAGAGGACCGGTCGCCGGCCGGCTGTCAGCCGGGTGACTCTCCTCGGCCGGTGCGCTCGCCGGCCGGCCCGGAGCGCCGCTCGCAGACCAGCCTGGCCGCCTCCGAGCCAGATGACGACATCGACCAGCTGGTGGCTCAGCACCGGCGGCGCAGCTCCTCCACCCAGCCGTCCGCACTCGGGGTAAGGCTGCTCCACATCAGTGATCATACTCGGGGGGCAGGCGTCCGCACGGGGAGGAGAACCATACACCCAGCCTCCCGCACTCGGGGTAAGGCTGCTCCACATCAGTGTTCATACTCGGGGTGCAGGCGTCCGCATGGGGAGGAAAACCGTACACCCAGCCTCCCGCACTCGGGGTAAGGCTGCTCCACATCAGCGTTCATACTCGGGGGGCAGGCGTCCGCACGGGGAGGAGAGCCGTACACCCAGCCTCCAGCACCCGGGGTAAGGCTGCTCCACATCAGTGTTCATACTCGGGGTGCAGGCGTCCGCATGGGGAGGAAAACCGTACACCCAGCCTCCCGCACTCGCGGTAAGACTACACCTCAGGACAATTCGCCTTCGGGATAAGACTACCGTGCAGAGTATTTCACACTCACAGTAAGACTTTATTACAGCTATGAATCTTGTTTGACCCTTCAAAGCTCATCGTAATCAATAATCTGCGAAATTGTTTTGATTTCGGAATTGAATAAGCGTCAAGGATTACGCTAGGCGGTATGTTCCTGATAGTTAAAGGTGGATTTGGTCAGTTTAGATCAATGACCTATTCTGGCCTTTAAGAAGTCCATGGAAGATGCCTGCGTGTTACTTGTTATATATATATATATATATATATATATATATATAGATATAGATATAGATATACATATGAGCATCAAAAGCTACCCCCTGAAACAAGCTTTCTAGTCAAAAAGAGATTGGTTTTGACCTCGGTCTGACCTTCATACCTGACAAAAGGTCAAGGGAGTTCTCCGTAGTTTTAAATTGAATCGTCCAACTGGCTAAGAAACTATCGCAAAGCTATATGATTTCGTCTACTACTCAGCTGTCGCATCAGATTGAACGATTTCTAGAAATTGCCTTGTCTGACACCCATGGCCTGACTGCGGCCGGGCATAGGTCAGCAACTTTACAAGGCTTATCTAATTTTTATACTAGAGCTATGCATTTTCAACCCATACGTGAGGCCTCTTTTTTGGATGGCATGAACCTGCGAGCACGCAAAACATTATTTGTCCCACGTTTCTCGCACCGTGTTATTAACTTTGTTCTCATAAAGTTGCGTCGTGACTACCCAGGCGGAAATGTATGCTCACCATATAACATTTTCAAGCTAACAATGTTTGTATTTTATTTGAATGTCTCCCGGAACAGCAAACAATGAATATCAGGAGACGCTGGATTCATCCATGATATTCCATAGCTGACATTTCTTTGCTGGGTGTGTTTTGCAACGTGGAATGGCCCCTAGGTCCTGCCAAAAGGGGTGATATCCTGATTCTTGCTGGCTCCGTTTACATCACTTTATACAATTTTGTGGATCATACCGGATCCCCGGAATAAATCATCGCTTAATCTTAGTTCTTTCTTAATTCTCGGCCACATTCGAGGCGGAAGTTTGGTTTTTGCTATACTCGACATAACTCCAAGCTGGATCCTGATTCTTGCTGAGTTGACTCCATTCAAAAATGAATCCAGGCTTATTCGTGGTCTGGAAGCAGGAATCAAAGGCTGGCTCTTGGTTCCCGAGAAGAGCTTTTAAAATAAGGAGACATGTTTGGTTTGAACTTTTGATTCTAGCTACCATTAAGTCTTGACACGCGCTCGGATGGGTGAGAGGGGGGGGGGGGGAGGGGCGGGGGGTTCAATCGAACCCCGAAGGTTTTTCCAGAATGGTTTCCGGACGGCGCGGCGTAGAGGCGCCAAATTTTGCATAGCTGTAGACAGTTGAGTAGCAGATCGTTTGGTGACAAAATTTAATGTACCTCGTAAGGGCGCTGACCTATGGTAGGTCAAAGTCAGGCCATGGTTTCAGCGAAGCCAATTTCTGGGGAATCGTTCAATCTGATGCAACAACTGAGTGTTAGACGAAGCCATACATTTCTGAAATGCTTTCTTAGATAACACAACAACTGAATGATCAAATTACATTGACCTAAGGTTAGGCATAAAGGTCAGACCAAGGTCAAAAACAACCTGTTTTTTACTCTAGAGCTTGCTGTATGTGATAGTTTCTGGTGCTCATTTCGAATTTATTGATAGCAGGAACCGCATTCTATATCCTCCGTGGACTTTAAGAGGTCATAATAGGTCATTTACCTAAAATAACCCAGGTCAACGGTTTGTTTTTAGGAGCGCACTGCCTAGCGTAATCTTTGTCCCCTATTCGAACGCAAAACCCAGAGCAGTCTTGTATAATTTGGATCACCACGACCTTCAAAAGTCAAACAAGGTCACTGATCTTAAATGTGCATGTGACCTTTACTTCGAAACAGTTATCTAGGTGAAGGGGCACTTTGGAGACCAACCTGGAATTTGACCTTGTGTGACCTTATTTGACACGAAGGTCATGACCTAAGAACTTCCAAATTTGACCGTGGTGAGTTTTTATACAGGTCAACATACCCTGTGAATTTGGTGTCTCTAGCTCTCATAGTTCTCAAGATCTATCCATCAGGATGTCAAATAAACCCCCCATACCCAAGCGAGGGGTATCCAGCCGGCCACCCGGTCGCGTGTTAATGAGCTTAAATCGTTTCGTGGAAGCCGCAGATTACGCTTAAAACACGGCACATCTATGGGTTGACGAATTCGTACTGTTTCGGTTAAATGACAACAAAAATGCACACTTGAAGAAACGTTACACCCAATGTAACCCAGGCAAAGTAGGTTAGCTGAATCATCTGTCGTTAGTACGTATGATAACGCAATTTCCGACTGTGTCCAACTAGTGATCGAGTAGTCTGAGTTGGGAATGCCGGCTGGCTGCGCTGGAGGCCTTGGTCGCTACGAGTGCCTGCGGCGGATGTGTCGGCAGTGTACACCCCAGCCCGGGTGCATGGCTCCGTGACCCCAGTGTGACCTGCCGGTGGGAGAGGGGCGGTGCTGCGGAGACGAGCCCCGACCCCTGATGACGGACGTGGCCGCCTAACTCACGCGCCGAAACCCGGCTGCTTCTCATGCAATGGCGGAGAAAGTCGGCGGGGCTTGGCTTTCACTGTGTGCTGGTCATCGGCAACCGAGCAAGTCAATGGCGCATTGGTGTTATGAAGTTGATTTGACATTTATTTTTCATGGGTCCAGCAGAGCGTTATGCATATGGAGAAGACAGTTGCGGGGAGCCCCGAGTGCCGCTATTCGGAGGTGGTTCGCGTGAGGATGTGCCGCCATCCGGTTAGCGTGGTCGAGACGCGCTGCTGACTCGAAATGACAACGACACGAACTGCATCGTCGCCGAGTCAGGCGCGTTTCAGTTGGAGTAACCTACCATGTGTGGTTCTCCACGGCAATACCAAACAGACCTACTTCCGGGCAAGTTGGGACCATTCCTTGGGAAGGCTATCCGCCTGAAAGGGTTGCCGGTGCTTCTCTGCCAGTTGCTGGGGATCAGAGGGCTTAGGCGGCCCTCTCCGGGGCATCCTTGTTCGTGCCGTGCGCCACCACCATCGCCCCGCAGTCGGGCAGTCGTGCTGGTGTCCGCAGCGATCACACTGCCGACAGACTACTTTGTAGGCTGCACTTCCGGCACGCTAGTCTAACCACGATTCTGCGGACAGACTAGCGTGTCAACGACACTGTCGGCCGGCTAGTCTATCGACGACACTGCGGACAGACTAGCGTGTCAACGACACGGTCGGCAGGCTAGTCTATCGACCACACTACCGACAGACTGCTTTGTAGACTGCACTTCTGGCACGCTAGTGTAACGACGACACTGCCGACAGACTAGCGTGTCAACGACACTGTCGGCAGGCTAGTCTATCGACCACACTGCCGACAGACTACTTTGTAGACTGCACTTCCGGCAGGCTAGTGTAACGACGACACTGCCGGCAGACTAGCGTGTCAACGACACTGCCGGCAGATTAGCGTGTCAACGACACGGTTGGCAGGATGGTCTATCGACCTCACCGCCGACAGACTAGCATGTCGACGACACCGTCGGCAGGCTAGTCTATCGACCACACTGCCGACAGACTACTTTGTAGATTACACTTCCGGCAGGCTAGTCTATCGACGACACTGCCGACATACCAGCGTGTCAATGACACTGCCGACAGACTAGCCTTTCGACGGGTCTGTCGGCATGATTTTCTATGGATAGCGCCGTCGCCAGATTCGGCTGTCAGCCACTCGCAACCATGATCAGCGCCGGTCACATCGTGGTTACAGCAGCACATATTTCAATAAACGGAAGCATGGAGCAATCACCCAAATTATTATCATCTTATGCACGATTCAGCGTTTTACTGGTTCGTGTGTTGTTTTGGTGTATTACCAATCCAGAACATTTTGGAAACACCTTTTCTTTAGGCATACGGCTAATGGGAGAAGTGATGTCGTTGTGGTAATTTGTTGCTAAACATACTTGACGATAATGACTAAATTAGAGAAATCTTCGAAGACACGAGCATTCTGAACACACAACACATTCAAAATCAACAAAGGTCTGGGTCAAGTAGATATTTTAAATACATAAACCTCTCGTGTTAATATCCGATGATATGTACTAGTGGCACATGCCTTGTGCACGCCAAAAATGTGTCGTAACTGACGGCCATCGGCGGTGTGAGAGATCTTTCGTCGGATCTCTGACAAGTGTGATTTGCACACATTTTGAACAAACCTAGTGGTAGTGGTGGAGAAAACATGAAATTGTCATTCTGCTGTATTCAATCAAGTATCGATACCTTCGGGGATGGCCGAACTCAGCTCAACTCATCTCAACTCATACGGTGGCGTATAAAAATGAGGCGTACTTGGAGGAGACGTGTGGATTATATAGCCTAGTGTTTTTGCCTGGAGTTAAATCAAGTGACTTCTTGTGAAATAGACATTTACTGATACGTGTTAGGCGTCACTGCGCAGTTGCAAGTCGCGCATCCAGCACTTTGCAGCATTGGCTCGCTTTCGAAGACCAAGTCTTTGCGCTCTTGTCGGCGTTAGCCGTCCAGTGAACACTAACAGGGCCATAAAGTAACGTTAGCTGTGCCCTGTGGGACCCGAACCGAGCCCGGCCGCCCGTGGGCCGGCGGCGTTCATTGATTAAATTCGCCCGGCCGAGCAAAGCTCCCCTCCCTGAGGCTTTCATATTCCATTGGCGCCACCACGTGGGGTTTCAAACACCATGACAGCCGTCAGCTGTACCCCAAGGCACCACGGCTTTTGAACGTGGATTGGGAGGCGGTCGCGTGCGGTGAAGTGAACTGTGACCTTTGACCTGCCGTAGACGGCGGGCGGCGGCGGCGTCGGCGGCAGCGGGGGAGGGGGAGGGGGGGGGGGGGGCTTTCGCTGAGGCCAGGTCGACTCACGGTCCACGGGATAGTCCCGCCGCAGGCTATTCTGCCGAGGAGCTGGAGGCTTACAGCTGTCAGAGACGACGCCTGTCGCCTCTCTGGCCGGGAGAACTGTGCGGGGATCAGGACCGAGATGAGACGGGATTTCTGATCCGCGGAAATATCACTGCGCTGCGGAGACCAGACATTCAAGAAAACATTTGTTTTTCAGTACAAACTGTTAACGCGCTCATTGGTGTTGTGATGATGAAAGCAGCCGGCAAAACAAGGCGGCTCCAGCTCCAGTTTTTTACGAAATAATGTTCCAGTGGACACGTAACTGCGCGGAGAGTGGGTTTAGCCAATCACACAGCGGATTGTACAGCTGTGACGAATATTCGGTCTATAGAAGATGGCACACACACTGCGATTGTTGGGTTGAAGGTCTGACGCAGTCTGCTGGTCCCATTGGGTGATGAATTTGTCGGATCGACGTGGGCCTCTGCGTTCCAGTTGAACTCGCGGACTATCGCTATCACCCTTTTGTAGTCGCGGCTTCGTTTTTCAGTCGTTTATTTTCAGCGCGTCGTGACATGAACCGGCCTGTCAGATTCATTTGTGCCTATTCGGAGCGGGCCTGTGTCACGGCCAACCCCGGCCGGCGCCGCGGGCCGCGCGCCGTCCGACTCGGCGTCACGCCTGGCTGGCCGCTCGTGCCGGCGGTCCGGCGCCGAACCGCAGCCAATCCGACCAATCCAGTCCGGACAAGGCCGCCGGCTGGTCGCTGGCCGCTCGCGGCTGGCCCAGGCCCGCTGACCGATCGTGAGAAGGCGAGCGTCGCGGCGGTGGTGCTGGCTGGCGAGAAGGCGGCGGTGGTGCTGGCTGGGCCGCGTGGGCCGGCAGCCCGCCGGCCGCGCCACCGCGACGCCGTTCTTGATTTGGACACGCTTTTTGCAGTGTTTGGTCTCGGCGGAATTAGCTCGGTTTGTTTTGCGGGGAGCCGTGGAATATGCTGTTTCTCGACGACATGTTGACAAAGATGCTCCGTTGAGACGCGCAGTCCCAAAATGAAGCTGTTTTGAGACGCCTGGCCGTGAGGCATTGATCCGTTCTGGCCGGTGAGTGAGCCGGTACGCGGGGCGTGATGGTCGCCCAGAACCTCGGTAATGAACTTCAGTGAAGTCATCTGGCGCCATTATCATGCCTTTGAAGCCGGTGCCGACCCAGCCGGATCGTGACGACCTCACGGGTCGGGGCGTGCTGGCGCGGCTGGGGGGTCGTCCCACGCCAGCGCTGGGACACGTGTCGCGGACGGGACCGCTCAAGCTGACCCCGTCTCAAACCAGACTGCGCGACCCCGCTCCCGCGTTGGCACAGACTCGGCTCAGAACGGGGTCGGCGCCGAAATCGACATGTCATTACTGATGGACGAAGGCGATCGGGTAGAGAATTAGTCGCTAAAATTAGCGGCAGACGAATGGACCCATTTGTCGCTGTGTGATGCTGCGACCGCGGCGCATGTCCCACCGCGTGATAGATGAGGTGACGTCATCACCAGAACAGATGGGGCTCTCTCGACTCACTGCCCCACTTCACACGGTCACACGTCTGGCGCTAAGGTGTGGCTACCTTGTTGCACGTAGGCAAACAGTGCCACTGGTGGGGCTTCGATGGTGCTTATGACATCTGACTTCAAATCTTCGTTTGACGCCCGTCAAAAATCCGCGTGTGCTTGGTTGCCATCATCCGACATAGACTGACACAGGCTGACAGAGACGAGGCGAGCTAGCTGGTAATGACTCACTTCAGCCTGTTAACAGAGGGCTTATCAGCTGCCGCACTCATTTGGAGTGTCATTCGGCGACAGAGCTCACTAGCACAGCTGATGTTAATGGCTGAGCTTGAGAACGCTCCAAGCCGTCGGCCACATAGGACCCAGCTGCGGTGGGCCATAGTCATTCCGCCGCCCCACATCATTCCAGTAGCCGGTCAGGCTGGTGGTGACTGGCGACTGGACCGGTGGCCAGGCTGGTCACCGCTGGTCACCGCAATCATGCAGACGCTGGCTGGTGCTGGACCCTAGCTGTTGGTGGCCGGCGCTGACTGGTGTTGGCTGGTGCTGGCCGGCGCTGTCTGGCGTTGTCTGGTGCTGGCAGGCACCGGATGGCACTGGCAGGCCGTGTCTGACGGTAGCAAGCGCTCTCTGATCTGTCGTGCTTTATGTCTTCCTCGTGTCGGCATCCGCTCACATCCCTAGATAGTGCTCGAGCGAGAAGTACACGATGCACAGACACGCCGAGCCGAGGCGACAGATTTTCCGGCCAGTCACATCGGGTGCCTGTCTTGGGCTGTCTTGCCCGCCACATAAGCCTGTATTAGGGCGGGCCGGCCAGCGGCTGTCGCCCGTCGGACGTATGTCGTGTGCCGTCGACGTTCGCCGGCGCCGGCGGGCCGCCGTCCGGCCGAAGCATCTGACGCGGCGCTGTTTTTGTTACGTCAGGCGTGCGGCGCGTCTGCCCTGGCGCCTGAGGGGCGCACGGCTCAGGCCGGCGCCGCCCTGACGCCCGAGGGCGCACGGCTCAGGCCGGCGCCGCCCTGACGCCCGAGGGGCGCACGGCTCAGGTTCCGCCCGACGCCTGAGAGGCGCGCACCTCAGGCCGGCGCCGCCCTGACGCCCGAGGGGCGCACTCAGGCCGGCGCCGCCCTGACGCCCGAGGGGCGCACGGCTCAGGTTCCGCCCGACGCCTGAGAGGCGCGCACCTCAGGCCGGCGCCGCCCTGACGCCCGAGGGGCGCGCGCTCAGGCCGGCGCCGCCCCGACGCCTGAGGGGCGCGCACGGCTCAGGCCGGCGCCGCCGCTGGCGCGCGCGTCCCGCTGTCTGCTGACGGACGGCTCAGTTATGAGCGGCGTCGGGCTCGCGGAAGAGATGACACGACTGCGCCACTTTATTGACTGACGGACTGTGATGGTGTCTGGATCCGGCGCTGTGTTCATCAATGATTCAAATGCTGACACTCTCCAGTTCCTGCCGCCGTTGTTGATATTGAGGTGCGAGTTGACAGCGGTCTCAGTTGGTGCAGCAATAGCAGAACTAATGGTCTGCGCCAAATGAAAGGGATTTTATATAACTGGGTGGATGAAGATGAATGGACACCTTCCGTCAAGCTTGTCACTGTGGCCATGCTCCAATTACGTATTAGCGTTGGCGCCAGGCACCTTGAACAATGATTTACTGCGCCACGCGTGCCTTACCTTTTGGGATATGCTTGGATACGCTCTTTTCGCTTGGCTTCCATAGGATCGATAACATGCACGGGTACCACGTTACTCATAACTCAACAAATACGAACACGGATTGCTCCTGGCACTGTTGCACAGTCATTTCCCGCAATATCAAATGCCGGTTTTTGCGACTGGTACTGCTAAGCTGGTACAGCTGGTACAGCTAGTACCAAGTCACCGTCCGCTGTGTGATGTCTGATGAAGAGAAGCTGGTACAGCTGATACTAAGTCACCGTCCGCTGTGTGATGTCTTGTAATTCGTCGCGTTCTACTTTTGCAGCAGTTCTGTCATCCTTATGTTTGCAACTTCGCGCTTCAAAATGTTCAAATCGCTTCTTCTGCAATACTTTGCGTTGCCCAGTCTTCTACTTCTGCCTCCTATTGCCGAGGCGCAGCGCCGGCATTCCAGCACGCCACCCGCGATCGAGACTTGGCTGCGGCACTGAGCATATTTACATCGCCGGTCGCGCCACCGCTAACCGCCTACTCCTCTCGTTGCAGTCTCGTAGCGACTCGCTGGGCAGCGTGCAGTCGACGGGCGAGGCGCGATACGGCACGGTGACGGTGCGAGGCGACATCGAGCTGGCGGTGCGGCACCGGTCGGGCCAGCACGAGCTGGAGCTGGGCGTGCACCGCTGCCGGCAGCTGGCCGCCGCCGACACCCGCCGCAACAAGTCCGACCCGTACGTTCTCCCCCCCCCCCCCCCACACACACTCATCGACTGCTGCACACGGCTAAGGGGCTTGTTTCGGGGAGAGAGGGAAGAGAAGAGAGGCGGGGCAGTCCCTGTTCAGGTTAATTGCCATTAAGCGAGCGGTGTTTCGCGGCTAAATTTGATATCGATTCTAGGACACGCCTGAACTTGGCGGCGTTCCGGAACTCGAGAACGCACCTAAGCCGGGAGCGCAGCTGAACCTACGCCTGGACTGTGTCGGGCCGGAGCTGGCTACCGTTGCCCCACGTTAAAGGCGTGCCACCGCCGCTCCGCCGCGCCTGCCGGTGCCTATTGATGACGCCACCGGCTATAGGACAGCTGCCAGTCCGGAGTGACGGGCTCTCTCTCCCTCTTTCTCTCCCTCTCTCT